AGAAGAGCAAGGCTGCTTGCAGAGGTGCAGCGCTGCAGACGCGCCGCCACAGCCCTGCCGAGCTCACGGCACCCGCAGGCTGCAGGCAGGAGCTGCTCACGGGTCCCTCTCAGCATGGGGACAGGCCACAGCACAGAGAACCCCCCAGAGCACTTCTGAGCTAAAACAACACCCCAGGTCCCCCTGCAGCAGCCAGCCTTCGCTGTATCCACCACAAAACCACAGGTTTTGTCTTGAGACGTGAGAGCAGCCCGAGAGAAGCGAGCTGCTGAAAACATGTTATTAAGGAATGATGCTGGGAAAGATGAAAATTTGGCAAGAAAGTTTCACAAATACGAACGCTTGGCAAAAAGCTCACTGAATGTAGAACCTGAAAGCACAATAGAAATGAAAGTTTTGATATAGAAGAATAATAGATGTTTAAATTAAGAATTGCTGAGATAGTTGTTACTGGACAACTAAGAAAGCAAAGGTTAAGTCAAGCTGGAAGAAGGTTTTATGGCTAAAACAAAAGATATGTTGACCACAAACAAAAAATATGTTTCTACTAAGCAGAAATAGGTCTTAGGAAAAGCAGAAGATACCACAGGCAAACAGACATGCCGATGTGGCAAGTAAGAAAAAAAGTTCAAGAATTTTCCACTGCAAGAAAACAACAAAAAACCAACTTTAAACTTAAACTGTAACATACTGACTCATGTCAGTATGGATAGTAATGACTCATGTCAGGCTGGATAGTAATGACCATAATATGGCAATGATAGTAGCTATGATGGGCTATAGGCAATAGTAAAGGTATTGTGCATGGTACTGATTGGTTGTTATGTATTAAGATGCTCAGCAAAGGAAAATATATAATGGATTGTAACGAGAGCTAAAGGGGCTTCAGGTTTGCCTAAAGCTGGAGCTGGCAGCTTTAGGTGTGGCTCTGTTACCCAGGAATGCTGTAAAATCATCTAGACAATAAACAGCATTTTGAAGAGCTGCCTGATGTCCCACATCTCTCGTCTCAGGCTCTTACAGAATGTCATTATTTTTATTGTGGATATTTCTGCCTCTCTTTTTGTTCCACCCGAGTGGTGCCCCCAGGTCTGAGCATCAGGGCTTGCCCTGGAGTAAGAGGCACTGGAAGAGCTGCTCTTCTCTGCCTTCTGCCAAGCCCACTCAGATAATTTGGAAGCTCACCACAATCATCACGGTGAGATTTACCAACAGAAGCACCAGGAGGACAACAGCCATCCTTTTGCTGATGGATCCCTCCTGGTTCACCAGATCCTGGACAAGTCTAAAAGCTGCAAAGCCTCACTTTGGGCTGTTCATTTGAGTTTCTCTGTGAGTTCTAAACCTGGTGGGAATTCTCTATTTCCTCTTTTGGCTAGGACAGAAAATAATGATCTATTTTTCTATGCTACAACTTTATTTCCAAAACACTCTTGCAAGAAGGAGCACATGGCTGTCTGTGTGTGCTCTCTGTGGAAGGAATGTTTGTTTTTAATGTTAGCCTTGACAGTCATCAGGAACTGTAATTTCTTTATCTGTAGTGTGTACACACACATGCTTGATTTCTTTTTTGAAACCTTGAACTGCTCAGGATTTTTTAAATTTTAATTAAATAAAGAGTTTTGAGTCCAGAAGCTGTTAGAGTTTAGACACCAAGTGCCATCACTTTGAGGAGACTTTCCTAGAGAAGCTTCCACTGTGAGCATTAGAAAGTATGAGAATGAGGGTAACAGAGAAATCCACAACAATGTTACAGAGTTTCTTCAACAATATTATTTCTCAGAAATCACAGGCATTTGTGCAAAATGTCATCTCTGCACTGGGACTTTAAATGTCACTCACCCACAAGCTTGCTGCCAATTATCTCTGAGCAGAGATAACATAACAAAAGTGGAAACCACGAGCAGTGAAGTGGCCATAGTGATTTCTCAGAAGACCTGCCCCGAGTTGTAAGGCAATGATGTGTGAGGAAAGAGACCCCACAAACCAAGTGTCTCTTTTTCCTGTCCCACCAGAGCAGAGTAATAAATTCCACCATCTGAGGATGACATGATTGCTACCATTGGTAAAGCATCACTTGTACAACAGCCCCCAGAAGGAGCTTTTACAACTTGTGTGATTCTGCTAAGAGCTCCAAATGTCTCAGGGTGTCACAAACTGCAGAGAGGGATGAACTTACAGGCTTTCCCAGAGACTTACTAATTGCTGATTACTGATACTAATTAATGGAAGGAATGAGAGATCATCTTCCACTTGGCATGTGCAGTATTTAGACATTATTCCCATTACAGACAGAAAGCACAGGAGTGCAGCAGAGCATTTCTAATATCTCAGGTGGAAATCTCTGGGGCTGTGGATGTGCTCTCCTGGGAGAGTTTCAGACATATGTCAGTCAGTTGATGCAGTCAAATACCAGCCAAAAGCAAAATAATGTTTTTTGTGATGTAGTTACACAGGAATTAACACCATCCAGAGAGCTCATCCAGCCCTACCAGCAGTTAATTACACAGAGTGGAGTCACCTCCCATCCACAATTGGACAGATAATCTACTTGTACCAGACAGATTGTGACAACACTGTAAAATTTTAGTGTTAGGACAAAATGGTTTATTCCCTTTAGTCAGTACTTAGGCTGGTTGCTTTATTTCCATTTCTGAAATGAAAAGATTATATGAGATTCTTGTAGACAAGGCAGGGTGCTCTGGCTATTTGACAGATTAATGTATGATGAGTAATGTATTGATTTTCTAAAAAGTGAATTAAAACCTGTTGAGACCCCAAAGAAAATTGGAAAGATTTCTTGCATGTTGCACAAAGCCAGTAACCATTCATTCCTGAAGGATTTGAAATAGTGTTCAAAACCATGCAAAACAACATAAATACTGTTAAATTTATACGACAAGCAGTAAAAGAATTCATTAACTAGTGCAGGAGCATATTAACCAAATATGTCAGATTAAAGAAATGGCACCAATGAAGCATTTTCAGCACCTCAAAGCTTGAACCTGTAAGAAAACCAAATCTGTGAACCAGAAAAAATCCCTGCATGTTTTCAAACTGACTGTACACTGACTGCTAATATATTGCAATTTGAAGGTTCCAAAGCATTAAAAAAGAAACTACGTGCTTTGGAAAACAAGTGCTTACAAAAATTTGCATCCTGTGAGTGGAAATAGTTCTTTTTGCTAACACAGAAATCAGCAGTCAGTAGCTTGTCTTCAGCAGAGCCAGCAGTGCTGGACATTTTGGTCAGACCCTCTGAATTCCGTAATAGGATGCCTCCTTCATGAGTTCCTGGATGGAAAGGGAGTCACAAGCAGCCACCAGCAAGAGACAGGTGGGAGAAAGTGGCTCCAGAGCACTCCCAGAGTGGGTTTCAGCCATGGATCATGTAGCACTTACAGCTGCCAGGAGCACATAAACACAGGATTGCAGGAGTCACTGGAGATATCCCAGTGCCCTGCAACACGTCACAAACTACAAGAGCAGAACCTGCTTCTCTCCTGTCTCCTGCCCTCCTGCAAAACATTTTGTGGCTCAGCTTGGCTTATCAGCCTCCTTGGCACCTGGGTTCAGGCACATCCTTGTCACCCACACCTGAGTCAAGGGGTTAAAATGCTTTTTCCAGCTAAATTTTCCTGAGTCTATAAGCTCCATCAGCACTAACCCACATTTGCTGGCTGATTCCTTCAGTTTTGCATATAACCAAAAGTATTTTTGATGAGCCTCCCCCTTCCCAAGCACCCAGCCCAGGCTACTCCATCCAGACCTGGCCCCTGAGTCATTTCAGACTCTCTTTGTACCTTGCCTGTTGGGTTTTCTCTGCTTCTGAGCTGCTGCCCTTGCTCAGCTGCCTCCATCCCTGTTCCACAAACTCTGACACTAAAGCTGCAGCCCTGCTTCCCACCTGAGGCTGCTTTGCTGCAATCCCTGTCATTTATCCCATGGATGGGGCTGGGGACATCACCAACACCCTGACACCGTTCTCACTGCTGCAGGTCCCATCCCAGCCTCAAACTGCACGTCCCACCTCTCCTTGAAAATCCCTTCCCTCTCCAGAGGCTGAGACAGAAAAAGTGCAAAGGCAACAGAATTAGCCCAGAGCAATTCTGTCTGCAACTCTGGGGGTGAAAATTTCAGTTTTTCTGCTCTCCAGGGAAGTTCTGAGACAACTCTGCATCTTCAGAGTGCTCCAACCCTCTTGGGCAGCCAAATCCCCAATTATTCAATGACACTCTGGAGCTGAATTCCCCAGCAGCTCATTCACCATTCTTGGGTTAACTGGGTGCTGATTCTCTGCCCTCGACACAGGTACAGTGCGTGTCATCTTCTTCAGCAAGGTGTTACTTCTTTTTTTAAAAAATTGTTTACACCAAGCCCAAAAAAACCACCTCCACTACTGTTTCTTTTCACAGCTTTTTTGTTTTCTTCACCATTGTGGTTATGTTTGCACAGCAGTGTTGCTACAGAGAGCTGATCTCAAATGTCACTTTGCTCATTGTGAACCTCCCTGTGCTGCCTCTCAGGGGTTTTGCCCCTTTCTGGCTAAACCTGCACCTTGTTCCAAAACTGAAAATGTGATGAAAGCTGCCTGATTATGGTTCCTAGATTGGTACCTAATTTTTTGGTTCTTCCCCAGCTCTTCACCCACCATTGAGCTGGGCTTTTCCAGAGCCAAAGTCAGAATTGGTCCCAGCACCAAGTCTAGTGGAATTCAAGGAAAGTTTGGGCAATGAGACATTGAATACACAGGGTCTGAAGGGTTCTTTTCTATTTTCTTCAGTGACTGGTTTTAAAAAGAAAATCCTCACTTGCAGATTTTGTAATTAAAGTGGAAAACAGTTATTATGTTGTCTAGTGGGATGCTGTTAGGAGCAGTTTATACAGAATTTTCAAAAAGCCTTGAATCACTATAAAAAAAACCCAAACCACAACAAACCACTGAAAGAAACATCCATTTATTTGCAAGAGGTATTAAAGAGGTTTTAATATATGTATGAAAATATGGAGGAACTGTACAAAACCCCAAGACAAACACAATTTATCCAGGTCTGGCCATGTGAAGACAGCAATTTGCTCACAAGGTGAACCTGCATCATCCACCCCACACAGTGAGGGGATTTCTCCCTCAGGTCTGGGGGCAGCATTTCATGAGCAATGTCTGGAGGGAAATGGGCTCTCCTGAGGGGCAGAGTTGTCTTGGCAAGCTGGGATCTTGCCAGAGCTCAGCTCTGGAGAGGAATTACCCTCTGTGCCTGGCTCTGCTCCAGCCATGCACTCATCAAAGATAAACTGATCCTAATCCCTCAAAAAAAAAAAAATAAAACAATTGCATCAATAGAGAGAAACTCCAGTCTCAGCCTGTCCTCAGCAGCCAGAGGCCACCCCATCAACCCTGACCTGGAACAATTCAACATTCCTTTCTGGAAGATTGTTGACTTTCCACAGTGGCTCCAAACCAAAACACCCCTGGGGGAGGCCAAGCCCTTCCTTGGCCCAGCTCCCCACCTGTTCTAGAAGCTGTTACTAAACCAAATTTAGCCTCTTCTTGCCTGATGTGAGTTTTGATAAATCCATTTTATTGGGATTTTAAGAGAGATGGGACTACTGGGAGACATCTTAAAGCATGGTTTATTACTCTTTTTTTACAGTTTCATGAAGGAGTGAGAATGTTTTTACTGTGTTTGCTAGATTTTTGTGGTCAATGGTCACAAGACCACTGGTTATAAGGTCTTTTAAAGGTTAATTAGCTAAAAAATTACTGCTACAAAAGAGTGTCACACTACTGGTTAATAATTTTGTTTTAGATGTCTTTGCTGCAGTGAGGAGATTCTTAACTAATCATATGATGATACACAAAATTACTCACTAAATCTTAAAGTTCTTATTACTTTTATACCTACTCCTAAAGCTTAACTTTAAAACTTTAAAACTTTTTGTTACCTAGCTCAATGTCCTTCTATTTAAACTACAAACTTACATTCTTGCCTATGGTCTCTAAATCCCAAAGTGTTTTCTAAGGTCTGAAGTTGAACTTTTTATTCATTTCTGTGTTTGGGCCTGCACTCACAAGATTTTGAGAATTTTCTGTGCTTGGAATTCCCACACCTTTGATAAGGAGGGGTTTTAGATCAGCCCCACCCAGAGTGGAATGCAGGCGTTGGCTTTACCCTGGATTATTTCACCTTGTTGAGTCACTGTGTTGGAGGAACACGTCCTGCTGGGACAACACTGCCACATCACAAACACCTCTGCCGTCCCTGGGAGCCACCAGAACCCAGCTTGAGTCACTTTGCTGGTCAGCCACATCTCCATCAGTCCTGTGAGCAGCTCTGACAGAGGCAGTAAACTAAAATCCAGAGCCAATGCTGTTTTCCTGGGTCTGTCATGACCTTGGAGCAGCTGAGCCCATGTGGATCCAGCATTTCACCCCACCACAACCCTGAGGTTTCATCAAAATAGATTTCCCTGCTGTAACTCTTGAGTAGTTTGAGCTGCCTGAGCTCTTGGGCAGACCCCAGGGACCCCTGAGAGATTTGGAATCCATGTCTGTGTGGATCCATTGCCAACCATTGAACAGACCTGGGTGCTCTTCCTGAGCACGTAGCAAAGCTGAGAACCAGACCTCCCCATCCATCCCACCTTCCCAGAAAGGGTTATTTAGCAAAGAAACAAGCTCATAAATTTCATTTAGCCCCAAAAATCTGCTTTTTCACCCTGAACTGCACACACACGTCCAGGGTACCTGCATTTTGCTACATTTCCTGTACATTACAAAAAATAAAAAAAAAAAATTATAAAAAAGGTAGAAACAGCCTTGGAAATGAGGTTTTCTTTCCACTGAAGAAGGTAGGTGGTAGGAATTTCAGTTCAGGTGGTTAAAGCAGCTCTCAGAGCTGCCTGTGAGGGCATGGTTGATGCACACATGGTCCCAGCTGGCAGAAGTTTATTCACCTCTGGAATAGGTGCTGGTTCTGACCAGTGTGCTCCGTCTGGAGTTGTAGGACATGTCTTCATACACCACATTGACCTTTTTCTTCTGGAAATATTTCTTCACCTGCAAAGCAAAGAAAACAGCCATTCAAACAGCCTGGAAAGACCCCAACAAGGAGTCATTTTCCATCTTAGGAATCCATCTACATCATCTGTTGGAAGAGGAAACATACTTTTAAAATTCCTCTCACGACCCAGTGAGGTCTTAGAGAACCAAATGGAAATGATCAGTTTATTTATTTAACTTTCTTTTATGAGTCTGATGCAATTTCACAAAAAGTGCCTTCAAGAGTTGGATGTAACTGTAGCTTTGACATAAATAATAAATGACAATAATAATAAATAAGGCTCTTTCTTGCACTGTTACTGGTAGCACAGGACACCAGGTCCCACTGGGCTTTGACAGAATGATGTTACACTACTGGTTTTTAGCAGTGCTGGATCCACATTTGGAGGGATGAGACAGGAGCCTGTGAATCATACACTTAATTATCAGTAATCTTTATGGAGCAGAAGGATCTATCAGAGACAATTTCTGGGCACTTTCTGCAGTATATATATAAATAATCCCAGTGAAGGAAAAAATTTATTTTTTTTTTCTGGAAAGGGGCAAAGTATTTTCTCCCAGCACTACTTTCAGACATCAGGCTATATTAGGAGTTTTTGTTGCTCTTGTGTTCCCCTCCAGACATTTTCTTACATCTCTTACAAACTTGCTATGTACAGCTCCAGTCCCAATTCACAAAAAAAAATTTAAAAAGCAAGCAAAGCAGAACAAAGAGGGGCTTTGTTCAGGGATATACACACACAACACATGGCTGTGTCAAGCACACAGCTCACTCGAGGTTTGTTATCAGAAGACAAACAATATCTCATTTACAAAGGGTCACAGAAATATAGGACACTGTTAGCTGCCAAAAGTCAACAGCTGGAAGATATTAAACAAGGGCAAATAGGAGAGCAATAGGAAGCCACAATTCCTTAGGTTTATCAGATGTTTGCTTGACTCAGCCTTATTAAAAATGATATCAGTTTGCTCCTCCTGGCCCAGTACTCACATCCACACAGTACAAGGTGCAGCACACCAGGGCACAGAACAGCAGAGCCACCACGATGAGAAGAGCATACATATCCCAGGAGCTCTTCTCACATGCCTGCTCCACTCCTGCAATGAAAATTACAGCAGTATCATTATAAATACGAACAGACAGAGCTTTTATTCTGAAAAAAAAAACCAAACTTCACAGGGTAACCAAAAATTCAGGTACCAACAGCTACAGAGCCACGTTTATCGTCCACCAGTGTTCCCACTGGCATCCCCTTTGCTCCCTTTGGTTGTAGCTGGGTCAGCAAGGAGCAAAGGCAGCTTCAACACCACTGATAGGAACCACACCCTCCTATTGGGAGAAGAAAAGTTTTCCTGCAGTGTTGCTGCAACCCTGAGGGCTCTGAATTATCCAAGAGCCAGCCTGGTGGGAGGTACAGACAGAAGCAGGAGGATGCTGTGGTATGAAATGCACTGAGCAGAATAATGCTGGTGGAAAGGGTCTCAACTCTCTAAAACCTCAATTAATCCATGTATGAATAACACACTAATAATTATAATTATTTATTAATTATAATTATGATAATAATTATAACAATAAATGATAATAAATTAATAATCACACCTCTGCTTTGCTGGGCTACTGTTACTTCCCCCACCTCACTTTACTGAGTCCTGGCCCCATTTGTGGGTGGTGGCACAGAACAGGACCACAGTTGCCTTTGCAGATTTCAGGAAAATCCTTTGCATCTTTTAGAGCCTTTGTAAACCTTATTTTACAAAGACCTCAGCAAAGCTCAGTGCACGGGGTTAAATTACACCAACAAGACCAAGATCAAACACTCTCTTGCTGGTTCTGACTTGAGCTTAGCAAGTGGGTACAGCACCATCCTGCAGAAAAATAAAAACCTCATCTTTGGAGCACAGAAGGGTAAAAACTCATCTTTGGAACACAGGAAAATCAACCCCCCCCCTTTGGGACACAGGAAAATCAAATCCCCTCTTTGGGACACAGGAAAATCAAACCCCCCCTTTGGGACACAGGAAAATCAAATCCCCTCTTTGCAGCACATGCTCACAGAGTGCTCAGTGTGTGACAAGGGTATGTGAGAACATCTCTGCTGTGTTCTGTAGTGCTTGAAGCAAATGCCCAAGGGCTTGGTTTGTGCTCCCCAGTGTGATCTGTTTTTAAACACAAGACTTGCTAGAGGGAATGATTTCTAAAAGCCGTTTATGTCACGCTAAGGTCAAAGAATTGGTGCTGAAGATACTTATTCATATTCTAAAACTGACTGATTGCACACAGTGAAGAGTTTGTTACCTTGTTTTGACCTTTTTTTCTCTTTCTAAGCTGCAGGATTATGGCAAGGTCTGAATTCCCCTCTGGTTGTACAAGGCAGGTGGAAGCACAGACTCTGTTTCTGTGTCCAAGCTCAGCAGGGCACAAAGGAGCCTGAGCTCACTCTCCAAACTTCCCTCGGTTTGCCTGTCCTGACTGAAGTTCCCAAAGCTTTCTGTCCACAACATAACAAGAGATATTTCTGATTAAACAAGCCCAAGGGTCGTACCTTTAACCAGCAGCATGGTGCCACTGGCTGAGAGCAGAGGGGAATCCTTGGGCCCCTCAGCACAGATGTAATTATCACTGTCCTTTTCCTGTAGGTTGTGTAGAGTTATCACAATTCTGTTCCCTTCCCTTGAGTACTCCAAGCGGTTCCCAAAGGCAGGAGAGACCTCTGAGCCGTTCAGATTTGCCACAGACAGAACAGTGGCAGGCTGCACGTGAATCCTGAGCAGGTAGAACTCCTCCTCTCCAGGTGAGCTTCTCAGCACACAGGTGATGCTGACAGACTGCCCTTGCTCAGGGTTGGCGTAGAGCGGTGACTGCTCCAGTATATATCTGCTGGATCTAGCTGAAAACAGAGACATTAGTGGTTACCACATCTTAACACAGTGCATTTTAACTGGGGAGCAAGGGCACAGAGCAGGCAGAAAGAGCAGACCACAGGAATGTGGATAAAATGAATTTTTAAGCACGCTTTCCACAGGCTTTGGGAAGAAGGGTATATTTTAGTACACCCTGGCACATCTTCCTGCCTCAGGATCTGAACATAGGACTGACCAACAGGTTTAGCTGCTTGTAAAGGGCCTGCATCGACCTAAAAAATTATAAATACTGACCTCCTCAAAGGGAATACAGCCTGATCAGCACAGCCTGGAGCCATGTATCATTGCCTGCTTTCTCAAGTGAGATGAAACCACAGAGGGATCTGGGGACTATTGCTCTGGATCAAATCACACAGTGTGTGTCCCATCTGTGTTGAAAATGGACTGTGAGAATGGAGTGGTTATTAATAATTCACTGTCCAGCCAGGAACACATTCCACTGAGTTCCTCTGAGGACAGGACTTGTTCCTTTTCACATTATTATTAAAGTGGATAAGAGAATGAGGACAGAACTTATCATGCTTGTAAAGGGAAGTCTGTAAGCATTTCAGAGAAGAGGATCAGGATCAAGCAGAGATATAAAGCAATTTAATAAAATAATTTAGAGAGACAATACACAATAAACAAGATGTGATACATTTGAGAAAACACAGCCAAGAAGTTTGAAAGGAGAAGCACAAGGGAGGAGCTGATAATGCTTCATGGATATAAATAACTATTGCTGATCAGCAATTAATTTGGTTTCACATGCCTTGGGGACAGGGAAGGAAGGAAACCCTGAAAGCTTTGGGAAAGATGCTTAAGTTTAGAGGGTCTCATTGGAAGGACAGGTACATGGAGGAATAAACTGCCAAATAATAGTCTGGAATCAATCTTATGGTAATGGAAAAGAAAATAAAAATAAAGACACAAAAATTGTTCCCCCCAACCAGAAACACCTGCCAAAAGAAGCACTTCTGCCCATTCAACAACTCCTCACTAACAAGAGAAAAAAACCTTTAGTCACTCAGGCCCAACTTGCAGACTCTAACAGCAGCTTCCCAATTAGTACCAATTTGTCATTTAAGATGAATTAATAAAAACAAAAGAGATTTGAAAAAACAACTGCTACAAAAAAAAAACCCCTCTTTGCTCTGCTAATTGTTTAAAAAGGTTTGACAGGTTGTTTTGGAAAGAGCTGTGGGACCTCACTGTTTCCAAACTGCTGCAGCAAACTATGACTCATGTGAAAATCTGAAGTTGGAGTTAATGAGTCACAAATTAATCTTTTAGGATGGTTTGGGGGATTTTTGGTACCATACTATCTCATTTCTTCCTTGTTTCAGGGAGAAAACCCACACATTCCTTCAAATCTGTACATGACCTGAGCAGACACAGAAAACATTTTGTCAGACTCGCCCTCCCATTGTGTCTTCTTCCAATCTTTGATTTAAAATACAGATCTGTATTTACTAATTCGTGACATAAAAGGTGGAATTGCAATACCTTTGACCACTACAATGGTTGTCTTCCCATACAGGTCTTTGTGATGGTCATTGATTTTAACAATCTCAGAGCACAGGTAAATTTTGGAATCGGATTCCTGTAACCTGCGCAGGGTTATCCTGAGATTCTCCCCTTCTTTTGAGTACTCGATGCGATTAGCAAAGTCAGGATTGATATTTGGAGGTTTCTCCTTGGGAAAATATATCACATTGAGATTCTGTCTGATAGCTGTCAAGTGCATCCCCACTTGATTTTGTGAACCATTCATTGGGCAAGTTATGCTGACGGAGTCTCCTTCCCAAGCACTGATAACGTCTGTTGACTGTTCATTTCCTCCACCTAAAAATAAGAAATGCAATTGAAATTGTAATATCAGAGTTCCCCTCGGTCTGTTCACATCAAAGAACTTTTCAAAACCAATTCCTCCATCAGCAGAACTGCTCTGTGAGACTGGACCTCAGTCTCCCTGTGCTGGACATGTCATTTCTTGGCACCTGTAGTGCCTTTCACGCCCACTGACCTGAGCAACTCAGCACCTTCCCAAGCTTCAGAGGCCTTGGCCAAAAAGTGGCTGCTGTCACACACACAGAAAATGTAGTTCTTTCTGTAGATTCCCAGGAAAATCCTATTAGTTCTCAAAATACAAACTTCACTAAAACTACCCTGATAATTGGTTTCAGGTCTAAATCAGGAATTTAAAAGTAAGAAAAAGTGGCAGAAAAGGGAAGAAAACACACTTTTGTTTTTAAAGTGGCATTTAACAACATCAGGGAACTGGATAATACAGATTCTCCGATTCAGCACAGGAAGAGGGTTGCAGAAGGTGTAAGTTCAATCTTTTTTAAGAAACAAAGGCATGCAAAAGTAGAATGAGACCCTTGGAGTTCTGGAATGGCCCCAATATCCAAAGAAATTGAACGGGGAGTACTTGTGCAATGAATAGCGAGGAATAGAGAGATCAGATGGGAAACACCTGAAAGAAACTACACCAAAAGCAAGGGATGAAAAATTAAATAGAGAGCATTGCATTGTCTAAGAAAAATATAGCCTAGAAAAGGTTGGAAAAAAGGAAAGGAAATATTGAAATGTAAGAAATGTAAGAGCATGGATGTTGTACGTACCGCTCTGGGCAGGGAAGCACGGGAGGAGCAGAAGAAAGAGGAATGCATTTGGGAGACACGACATCCACAGCATTTTCAAAGGTCTTTTTAGTTGTTCCCTCAATCAGACCAATGAGTTAAAGTCCCGAGGAAAGAGTCATAAGCTGTTCTTACGTGGCTGTTGCCTGCCAGCTACTTGAGCTATCTGCTGAAACAGAGCTTTGCTTCTGCCTTTGTATCACAATGATTGTGATAGAAGGGGAAGAGCCATTTCTTTGGGAGGGGCATCTTGGGGTTCTTCACACTTAAACCAGCCCTGGTTTCCTGCTCCTGAGCAACCCCCAGCCCCCAGCAGAAAGTTGTCTATGGGGAGACAACTTTGTCTGTCTACCTGCCCTCTGAAGACATCTGAGAAAAGGGAGGCTCAAATTTGCTCCTCACAGTGACACAGTCAGGCAGTTGTCCCCCATTTGTGGTTCCCCTGGAAATTCAGAGGCTTGGTACAATCAGTTCAGTTTGTCAAGACTCCCACGGGCTTAGATTGGTGGCTGCAGATGCAAAAGTCTTGTCTTCATAAAGAGAAGGGAGATGAGTGATGCTCCACTACTTCAGGAAAACCCTCAGTTATTATACCAGCACTGCAGATTTGATCTGCATCTTGGCAGATGTGAATAATTCCCAAGCAGGAGGAGCTGGAGTTCCTTCAGCAAACACCAGCCACTTAAACCCAGCTGCCCCCAGGGCAGACCTGACCCACAAACCAGCCCACCTGACATCACCAGCAGGAGAAAGAGGATTTGACAGGAAATCTGTAGAACCCTAACAAAGTCTTTTGATCTTGTTGCTAAAAGGATCTATTTGAGAAAGCATTACCTGAAACTTTCAGGCTTTTCCATCTCCCTTAACTTCATTGCAAAGCCAAGACAATAAATAATTCCAATCTTTACCAAGACAATAAAGCCTTTTCTGCCACTTCTCTCAAAGTGAGAATTAAACTTGCAACCCAGAAAGCCAATTATATTCTACATGTCTACCTAACAGGTAGAAAGAGCAACAATTTCTAAGTGAAGAGATTGGCTCTAAGACAGGAGCACTTAAAGAAGGCAGTGTGAGCACCTTGTTGGCATTTCTCCCAAGCCACAGCACCTGCACACAGACACAAAAAGTCAGTGCAAGGCACCTGTGAGCAATTCCCCTGGAGGGCAGGGAAATGCTCACTCCAGATGCTTTTGTGTCTCCCCAAGGGGAGGATTGAGCATTGGGGGATCAGCCCAGGACCCACTGTTATTTGGGGATCCACCAAAAGAAGAAAATGGGAGAGATCCCAGCTCGGAGAGGCCCCATTCAGAGGAAGGTTGTTGGTCCAGGAGAGCTCCAAGGGTCCCGTTTGTCACTGCTGTTTATGGGGTCACAAGAGATGGGCTTTAATCTCAACAGTTTCACCCTGGCCCCACTTTGGACCAGCCTTCTTTGGACGTGTGAGAACAGAGATGTTGTGCCATTCAGACAAGAAAAATCATTCCCAAGGCTGCTCCTAAAGAAAGCAGGAGCTCGTTGGGCAGCAGCAGTGCCTGGGAGCAGACAGTGCTTGTGATAAACCCCAGAGGAGCCGAGCCAGGGGCTGCTCATCAAGGCCGAGCATTTCTTAGATCCAAGTGTGGCCTGGAACAGGGAGGATGCACCAACACACCATGAACAGACGGTGTTTAAGACAAAGTTTTATTGTGATTATTCACAATATCACACCTCAAATGAAATAACAGCTATCAAATTATGGCTTTTGGTGAGTCAGGTCTCTTAGTACTGTCTGTCATGGTTTTATTCCATAAGAAAAGTAAGATGATTGTTCAGGGCCCTTCTAACACAAACCATTCCATGATCCTATGATTAAAAACACCCACCTCCATGTGTATATTCAAGAGCAAAATGCACTTGCTGAGGACAAGAACTGTCAATTTTTAAAGCAAGTTCTCACTACTTTTCCTGAGCTGTAGCACCTTTGGTGTGCACCAGCACAACACAGCCCCAAAGGGGCAAAGTGGAACAGTTGGTAGGGATATCCCCAATAATCACAATCTGTATAATCACCCGTAGGAAGAAGAGATGTGAAGGACAGAGTGTGTGAGTGAGACATAAAGATCAGTCTGGGACTTGTGTTTCCTGACTGTTCTCACTGAGGTGCCCATATAACTTTTCCTCTCAAAACACGTCCAGCTCTCTGGCCTCAACTGCTGTTACAGAGTAGAAATTAAATCTGCACATCATTAACCTCATGAACACCTCAAGTCAGTGCAATTTCCAAAGAAAACCTTCCTCACTCCTTTTACACAGCTCTGCTCTGTCAAAAGCTTCCAGCAGTTTTGTTGAGGGGACAAAAATGGAAGTGCAATTGTGATAAGATGCTACATAAAGTGGAAAAGTATTTTTCCTCCTATTTCTTAGTTCATCCACAGTCTGGCCTTTTTACAGGCAACCTTAGTTTTTTGATTTATTGAGCTAACATAACATTCCTCATGATAAAACACAGCTGACAACTGAATCAAGACCACAAACTCAGTAAATACTAGCAGCATTGGAATACTTGGATTGTCAACCCTTCAGGAACATATGACTGAATTCCACCACATTAAAATTGAAAATTTGCATCATATCAGCTGAGATCTGAGTTAAAAGTGTGAGTGTAAAACCCTGACTGGGGAAAAAATCCCCTCCAACCCAAAAAAGCATTTGCCAAAAAAAGAGGTAAATTTAAGCACAGAGGCCCTTCTATTTTTCTAAAAATTAATTATTAAAATTATTTGGATCTTTTACATTAAGAAATTTTCCTTTTAGATTGGATTGTAGCACAATGTCCTATATCATTTGGGATTTCCTGCTGGAAGTCTCAGCTCCAGGTTTATGGGCAACTAAACCATGAAAAAATGGCAAACATTCGCATTGCTTCAGAGATTTGCTTTTCCACTTGTGCTGCCACTGATTTTTGCTAAACAGTCCTGATTCTAAATTAGATCCAATGCAAAAGGTGAGGATTTATTCAAGTCAGGCGGGAATGGGGAATGATTTAAAGACACCAAGTACCCAGTGGGATTGCTGAGGGCAATCATGCTGTCTAAACTTGCCTAATTTGTCAGAAGATTGATACCAACCTTCATCCTGGGGGGAGAACAAAGCCTCAGTGACTCAATGCCATTGCTGGGAGAGCTGGACACGGCCTCCCACCCAGCCCTGCACAGCAACAAACACACACACATGTCCTCAGCCTGTGGGTGGGGGCAAAAATCAAACATCTATTCAAAAACCCAAACTGCCCCAGCTCAACCAAGCAGCCAATTGTGCAAAAGGCTTTGGTGAATCCAGAGATGACCTGAGAATTAAAAAACATACAGACACCTGCGTGCTGCTGTGGCATTACCAAGTGAAAGACGTTGTTCCACAGCAGTTCACACTTTGAGTGGTGTTGCAGTCCACAACTGCAGGATCATGGCCAGGGAAGCCACAGTTTCAGGGAACCAGCAGAGACAGGCCACTGTTCATGAAACCATTTTTTCAGCATGGGAACAAACTGTCATTCAGAGACAGAGAGCCCTGAACAAAAGCAGGGTGAGGGGTTTTGAGGGACAGAACTATTGAGGATTTCCACCTTTGAGGGTGGAGTTTAGGGTTAGGGACCACTAGAAACACAAGGGAGAAACCCCCAGGGACTCAAACCCAATCAGAACTCCTGGGCCACTCCTCCCAAGAGGTCAGGGGTGTTGTAACTTCATCCAGGGCTCACACTGCCCATCCTCCAAAGCAGGAGGTCAAAATTCACAGTGGCCTTCCAGCCACGCGTCTCACGTAGACAAATGCATTTCTGAAACGAAGTCTTTGCCTCCCTGAGGCACCTCACAACACAGTGGCACAGAGAATTCAGCTGGTTCCAGCCTGTGCTGCTGAGTCAGCCACACTCCCTGGGGCTCCTGCTGTCTGCAGCCAACACCAGGAGAGGATGGGGGCTCCTGCTGCTGCCTGTGCTGCTCCCAAAGGCCTGGAGCTGGACGAGAGTCACAGTGCTCGGGGAAGGCGTGGTGAAGGTACGTTTGTGAAAAAGGGAGTTTTTGTGAATACATGAGCAGGAGTTCTCATGGAAAATCAGTCTGTGTTCAGCTGGTTGCTGGACGTTGTAAGAAAGGAGGAGGATGCTGCTGGCAAAGAGGTTTTCTCCCGTGCAGATGGTTATCAAAGATGTTCGAGGTTTCCTTCATTAGAAGTCTGTCTGTATTGACTAAGAGCTGCAGAATTGGAAAAAAAAAACCAACAAAATCTGTGAGGCCATCAAATAAACTGGTAGATTCCAGTTAGAATTATAAACAAAATGCCTGTATTTGTGAAGTCCTCCAGGCACCTCCCCTCTCCCATCTGCTACTGGGCCTTGCTCCACAAAGGGGGCAGCTTCATGCCATGAACAGGGGTTTAGGGCTCTGCTGTGACCCTGCCCTGGTGCTGTGACCCATCAGCCTCTGCCTTAGTGGGGCTCTAGGGCAGACCTGAGACATCACTGGACGTTGCACCCCAGGCCAGGACCTCAGGGCAGTCATTACTGGTAAATGTTTTACTCCTCACACCAATCTACTCATTAATCTATTGATGTAACAACAACAGTGAGAGTGGCTTTGTGCTCCCTTTGCTGGGCTTTGCAAGCACTTGTGCAACTCCTCCTGAAACAAAATCACACTTGGAAATTTAATCCTTTGACTCTCAGAAAGAAACAACCAGCATCAGTTTCCAAAGGGATGGACTAGTTGGGTACCTGAGAGGAGTCTCAGCCTCAGGCATACACAAGGTGCCAAAATCCCTGGAGCCAAGTGGACACGGGATGAGGGGGAAAGCTGTATGGCAGGGTAGGAAGTGTCTGTAGAAACCTCCTCAGAACCCATCCTACCTCTCTCCATGCATCTTGGTTTGCAAAATAAACTTCCCTCTTGGATGAATTTAGGGAAATATTTGTTCTTAAATGAAAGCTGGCTCTGTAGTGGGCAGGGTTGAGAGAGGGATCCACTCTGAGCCCAAGGCTGGATGTCCATCAGTGTCCTGGCTGGGACACATCTCTGCCAGGGGAGCTGCACAGCAATGCTGCAGTCTGGGACTGCTCCAAGGACCAGGATCCCATGGAGGGAAGGCTGAGCCCTGTGATTCCTTGGCCCTGCCAGTGCTTACCCCTTGTTTCAGGAGGAAGCAGTGAGGAAATTCCTTCTTGTCAGGGTGCAACACTGATAGCTCAGTTCCTTACCTCAGGAGCAAGACTAACGAAAGAGAAACTGCTTTCATTGTTTGTTCTTCCTTGTCTATATTCCATATTTACAGACAGTGAGGAGCTGTACACTGGGCTAAAAGAACTACAAAATGGAGGGACAAAAAAACCTCTCCAAGGTCTTTTAAGTGTCAACCCACCCAATAATGAAATGCCAAGATATTTTCACTTATAACCCAATAACCAAACAGCTGTCCCACAAAAATTCTTCTATCCTATCACCTAATATAGCCCAAAAACCCTAGCAAAAGAAGATGAGGAAGAAGAATAAGGAGAAAGGGACAACACCCTAACTCCTCCATGTTGTCTCTCATTCACTAATACAGCTTAAACCCTAAACTCAAACTTTCTCATCCAGTGACTTAATGTAATTCTATCTAACTTACTCACATTTCCAGTTTCTCCACTTAGTTTTAGGAGCTTTCTCCATGGTCTCAGATAAAACTCAGTGTTCTCTTGAGTGTCTGAGCCTGTCAGCACAGATAAAGGAATATTTTCTGTGTCTGTGACTCCAACACTTCTGTGCTTGTTTTTCCTAACAAAGCCTCCGGATGGGCCCTGTCACGGGAGGAGAGCTCATTCCAGCTGTCAGCCCAGTGAAGATCATTAAGAACTCCATGAGCAACACAATGGGGATGAGATCCAGGAGGAAAACCCCTTATGCTTTTTCCACTTTCAGGTGTGGGAGACACAGAATTTGTCAGACTGTACCTTGGCCACGCCGCCGCCACAGGAAGTAATACGTGGCGGCACATCCTGCGCAAACCCCAACAAACAGGAATGAGAGCAAGATGCCAATGCTGGTCTTTTTGCTGCTGGTGAGAAGTTCAGGATTACCTGCAGAGTAGAAGAAAACAGAGCATCCAAGTGAAGCAAGCAGGCTTGCCAAGCCATGAGCTGCCTCGTAAGCACCACACAAAGGAACTGGCCCCCTCTGATAAAGAGAGAAGGAACTGAGATGAATGAGAGAACCAAGAGCCTCTGGTGCATCACCTCTTACAGAAGGTACCTGCCACAATGCTCACTTTATCAACACTCAAAGCAAATTCTTGTCACCCCACCACAACAGATACCTTTGAACATCAATCTTATCCAAAATAACCAACAACAAGTGGTGTGAGACCCATCCTTGATGAAGTGTTCAGATAATGAAATCTACTTTGACTGGTTTCTAAAAACCATTTTTGTCCATGAACTAAGGAAGACGACAGGTGTTTCTAGCATGAAAGAAATTTGAGTATATAACTGTCACATTTAGTTGACAAATATTCTCTTAGTCTGGAGGCACAGTCTCATTTAGCACTTACAGATATGGTCAGTTCTTGGGGACTTGTTACATGCCCATCATGTACCCCCTTCCCTCAGCATCCCTGTGTCTGTCCCTGTGTAATTACAGGAGCCTAAGCCTGGGGACATCTCTGTCCAGGACTGGGCATGTCCATTTGCCAAGGCAAAGTCTCTGAGACTGGATGGCTGCAGCATGTGTGGACTCAAGTTAAGGATGTACAGGACATCTCCCCACCCAAACTCTGTTCACATAAAGCTGTCTGGACAAACCCCTCTCAAAACCAAAGGCAAACAAGCACAAGAAGTTTTTAACCTAGAATTCCCTCACCAGGAGACTCAACTGGCAGTGTGATGGGTTTTGAATGTGACTTTTGAGTGTAGCATCTCAGGGTAGGGTTGTGTCTCCAGATATTTGTCTCTGCTTCACAGCAAATATTCTTCTCCTCAGTATTGATGTTACCTCTTCCATTTTCTGAGAAATATGAAAGGCAAAAAGTTTTGATTATCAGTATGGATCATGGAGAAGATCTTCAGTGAAGGGCTAAAAATGTTGAAGAGGTTAATAGATTTAAAAAGAGGATTATGTTGTACAAAGAGTTGGAGATTGCTATGATTGCTATGAATTGGAGATGTTTCATTCCCTAACAGTCCAAACCAACCATTGTCATTAGATTTCCTTCTCATTAAAGCTGATGAGTTGAAGTTAAATGAAGTTAAATATTTGAAGAGGGTAGGAAAGTTTTCACATGCAATTAAGAATAACAAAACATATCTAAAAAACTTATCATTACCTTAATGCAATAAAAATCTATTCAAAAATTTTGCAGCTGCCTCTTACCCACAGGAACCAAAGAAGAGAACAAGCAAATCCAGTAGCTGAGTAAATCTCTAAGACCCTGGAGTTCATCTCCTACCAACCCTGTATGCCACTGTGCCATTATAGAGCTTATTCTTCTCCTAAGAGAATCTGGAAAATTCCCTCTTACCTTCACCTATACATCCACCCTTTCCCCTCTCAAGGGATACAGGAATCCCTGTCCACAGCAATTTCCACATTTCACTGTGAGTGTTTTAGTGTCACCAACGTTTTACACAGTAGCATGTAGATATTTTGCAGTGGTGAGCATAAATGCAGGAGAGAAATGGTTTGTGGGGGCCAGAAATTAAATACAGAATTGTTGGGCTAAATAAAGGCACACAAAGGGAAGAACTCTTTGTTTTCTTCTGTCAGCAAGAAAATGAGAAAGGATGTTCTAACTCTAACAGGAGAGGTGATAAAAGCTGCTTTCAGAGAACCAACTACAGACAGAAATGTCACTGGCTTGGATGGAGCTCAACTAAGCCACACCTGTGCAAATTGAGCCACCATGACGTTTTACCCTCATGGAACCAGTTGCCCCATGCACTGACAGGGGTTTGAATCCCTGACTTTGGCAGTTTTGTGAGGAAGCTGGAAAGATGCTCCTGGGTGTTTATTGAATTGGACAGAAGAGCAGCACAGAGCATCTCTCGAGGCTGGACCTGGGTCTGGGTGTGCCCTGGCTGAAGCAGGTGGGATTCACACATTGCAACATGGCACAGAATTTCACCATGGGAATAGCTGTTGCCAAAAAAAACCCCTAAAATAAAATAATGTTTTTATAAATCAGAGTAATGTGTTTATCTAGATCTCTCCTAGTGTAGTTTTAAGCAGTGTTTGACTTGAAAGAACTGAATTTACTTTTGTGAATTACTTTATGACTTTTTTCACAGAAGAAACCCATTCATTCCAGTTTATTAACTCAAAAGCTTTGCTGTCTGCCCAAATAAGTTCAGTTTCCTACCCAGAAACAGGTTTTCCATCAGTTAATAACCAGGCTCCCAGCACTGCATACCTCCATAATTCAGAATGCCACAGGAGAGTCCTGCTCCCCCAGCTTTCTGCCAGAAGACGCCATAAATTCCTTCAAGACAGGAATTTTCTTGCTCAAAGCAAACAGTCATGTGTGTTTCGTTGGTCACCAGCTCAATTAGTACGTCTGAAAACGTCTTGTTTTGTGTTTCAGCGATTATTGTAAAGTTTTTAAAATTATTTTCCCTAGACTTGCATGTGCAGCTCTTGTAGTCCTTACAGTGGTAGACTGTCACAGTTGTGCTCCCTTCAGCAGGGCCAACAGTGGGCATGGCAATACCTAAATCAGAAAAAAACAAAGAAAAAACATGTCCACAGGTTTTCTCCCTGGATGTTCAGTGTTAGGGAAGAGGATGGGTTTTGGTGGACAAGTTCAATAATGGCTCTGGAAGCATTGTCTGCCAATGGGCAAATTTTATACAGTATTGGGGCCAGTTCCCAGGATAATTTTTGGAGTAGAAACAGGATAGAATTCCTCCATTGCTTCCACTGTTTTTTTAACTGGGAAACTGGCAGTTTGGGAAGTAAGTTGAAAGATGTTTCACTTGCTGAGCTCATCTGTTCTTGTCCTCTTTCTTTCCCTAGCTCCTTGGCACAATCCCACCAGGTGTGCCTCCAACACACTGCCAGATCCCAAGGCCACTGAAGTTCAGAGCTGAGCTGCCAGACTGCCCACTCTGGGTGTAGCATCCCAGGTTTCCTCCCTCAGACTCTCCTGGGAAAGAGTCAGTCCTTTGGGAAAGGACTCACTGCATCTGACAGACCCAAACAGTCATGGCTCCCAAAAGAGGTGATTGTGACAGCTCAAACACATCAACCTTAATTTCTCTTCTCACCTTAGAGGTTTTATGGTCTTGGTTTTAAGCACAGCTGAGCTTTCTCCTAACAGTTCAGAGGTTTTGAGCTATGGAAGTGCAGGAGAAGCAGTGAGGTGAACCAGAAAGTTTCTGGGAACCACCAGACTCACTTGGACAGAGAGCAGCAAGAGCCAGGAGCAGGAAACCCAAGTGCAGGAGGTGGGGAGAGTCCATGGGGCTGCCCGGGGGGCTCAGCTGCAGCGGGGCTGGAGCTCTCCCAGACCCTCCAGAGTGCCAGGACAGGCTCAGCAGGCCTCAGTCTTCTCCCTGTTGGGAATTAAAGGCAGTGTTTAGCACCCAGCATCTCTGTTCTCTTTGTCCAGACAAAAAGATAACAGCTCGCAGAGGTGACAGCGATGGGAGCGAGGCAGAGGAACCCTCACACTCCTCAGCTTCTACTGCACTCCACAAGGGCCTTGCAAGGACCAAACTCGGCCCTTTCCACCTCTGGCTCAACCACAGCAGTTGGAGACACGAGGTCCTTCTGCAGGGAGAGGAAAATCCCTCCTGAGGATTTCCGCAGCGGCCCTGATGGACCCCGCAGGAGGAGCAGCAAATAACAGCTTGATTTGCTGTCACTTCCAAAACACACTAATTAAGGAAGATGGATTTTGCTGAATGAATGTTTTTCTTGGCCTAAAATGAAATATTGTCAAATGAAATTCTATTTTTAGTTTAGGAGATCTGATGGGAAATATCTGTTCAAGTCAAATGAGCAAACAAACAATAACTTGGTATTTATTTTCAAAACATCGTTGGATTTAGTTAGAAGTTCATTTTAAACCATTTAAATAAAACCGTCACGACTTTGGCAAGTATTTTACTAAAACATATATCACAAAGTTGTGATGGTTTTATTTAAATGGTTCAAAATTAACTTAGCAAGTATTTAAAAATACTTGGCAAGTATTTTACTAAAACATGCATCACAAATAAGAAAAAAAAATATAGAAAATTCACCTAACTTTCCTCACCAGACTAGCTCTGGAAAACACAAACTGCTTTGCTCCTGGGAGCTTTTCATCAAAACTTTCATTAAAACAACTTTTTTGCTGTCACTACCTGAGAAGTACCTTGAGGAAATTTCCAAATTAGTTATACACTAATTCCTAATTATACATCTGACAGAAGTTAATAAATGCTAATCTCTCTAGATTTGCTGGGAGTTGCACCCCATTTCCCAGGAACAGGTGATCCAGGAGAAACAACCCACAGGACATGCCAGTTCCACCTGCCAGCAGCTGCAGACCCAGTTCTTGAGACCAGCTGTAAAATTTCCTGTGGAATAAAACCTGGGACACCTCAGGCTCTGGACAGCCCTGTGCAGGATGAAAATCCAGGGAATGCTGGACAGAGCTGGGCCCCTGGAACTGGAGGAGAGGGGAGGAGAGGGGAGGGGAGGGGAGGGGAGCCCGGCAGCGCAGGACTGGCCAGGGGTTAAGCCAAGGAAGGCCGGCGGGCTCAGGCTCAGCCTGCTCGGGACAGGGGCCAGCAGCAGTGGGACCCGGAGAGTCTCCCCCCACC